CACAGCACCTCAGACTGAGGAAGTCTCTCGGATGAGAGACGAAACGTTTCTACATTTTTTTGCTTTGTTTTGTTTTTTGTTTTCTTGTTTTTTGAATGTCCAGAGGACCAGATTGAACTTTTTTGGATTTTTCTACCTGGATTATTGAGCATGCATCAGGAGATCACTTGAAAATGTTTATTACGTAAACAACAGGCCAGGCTTGTATTTCTACTAAAGAGCGTTTTGCAGATTTACACAGTTCATTTTGTTTCGACATAAAGAACAAGCCCCCTGAATGATTTGTTCACAAAACATTAGTTTTTTGTATAATTCCCTGATATTTTGTCATCTTAACAGGTCCTTCCTGCCCATACTAACCAACACATCTGTTGAACAAATGTTTATTTTAGGTGTTTGTGTGGTTTCCGCACCATGACTAATGACTTCTTTTCCTTGTTCCAATCTTTATGAACAGCTCTGCAAAGAGCAGAAATGTCTGCAAGCGATGATGGCTCACCTGTATCTGCCTTCTTTAGAGCTTCAGTTGCCAAAATGTGATCCAGCTGCTGATCCTCAAAGCCCACAGGTAGATGGAGTGCAAGCTGTGTGAATGAGCCATGAAAGGTTGAAAAGTAAGACAGATGAGGGGAAACTAAACTAAATAAGCGGTGGACATGATGAATGTGCAGCTGAGATTCCATCTTCTCCAGCCCTGATAGAGACATTGCAGGACTGTAATTTACCAGGAGTAGAGCTGGATGATATCGATATTTTAAAAATATTGGTATAATTTTTTTTTTTTTGTAATTAAAGATGGGACTATATCCAATATAACAATATTATACTTGAGAATACACCTGCTCTTCTTTTTCCCATGTGTCCCCCTCCTTCTCCCTCCTTGAATACAAACCCAGCCCCTCAGCAGCGCTCCCCCTGCTTTCTGCTTCTTCAGGAGGTGGGCAGGAGACGTTTAGCACAACAAGTTAACACGGGAGATATATGAAGATTAGCTGCTGCTGAGCAAAAAGAAAAACAATGGCTGTTCTTTCAGAGATGGTTTGGATTTAAATTGTCAGATGAGCAGCAGAAAAATGATTTCTGTAGACAATGCAGAAAACAAGGCCCGACAAATGGTAGGCACTACGAATCTTTTTCACCATTTCAAACAGCGCTATAAGTGGAGTATGAAGCATGTGAAGATGCAGCTGCAGGTACAACAGACTTCAGCCTCCTTCCCTGAAACCACGGGTCAGAACTCATTTAGCCATGCTGTGCCTTATGAGAGGAACAGTGAGGTGTTGTGACATTAAAGCAGTAGCTAATCATATCGCTAAAGACACGGTCCTTAGTGGCTAACATGACAGATGGCTGCTAAGCACCGTGTCTTTAGCGATATGATTAGCCACCGTTTTATTAATGGGGCACTACCTCCTCTCACTGTAAGACTAAAGCCCCTAGTATGCTCCCGCGTACGTACGTCTACGCGTATGTACGCAGAAGTCCAGACTTCATACTTGAGCGTCCACCCTGAGCAGCTGCAGAGCAGCTTCACAGACAAGGGGCGTTTACCTTTGGGACAAATTGAGGTTGCCGATTGGTCATTTGCTGACACGCCTACTGGATTGATTGACAGGTTGGGGGGGGAAAACGAGCGCTGGCAGCCGCAGCCGCAGCCGCAGCTGCAGCTGCAGCGGTGTTCTGTGTTTATATGTTGTTAATAAAAAGATCTAAAAAAAAAAGAAAAAAAACAGGGAGCTCTGGTCCTGCAGCCCACACATCAGACCAGCCCACCAGGAAATCTCTAGACCCTCTTGCAGCCATGCTGGACCTGAGTTTAATTTGCTCGTGACAAATTCCTTCATTTCTCACCATTTCAGTCATGGCATCAACGGAGGAGGAAGAGATCACTGCCTCTTGGCAAAAAAACAAAACAAAAGAAAAGGCCCGATCAGGGATGAAGAAGGGGAATTTAATATATTGGTGTCGCATACAAAACAGTCCGTCGCCAGGCAGTTTATTGTGTGACATTGCATACGCATACGCAGTCGTAAAAATTGAGCTATGTGCGGACATGCCCTGTGGGGGTACGCTCATACCTCCGCGTACGTACGTGCGTACCTCCGCGTACGAATGTATGCGGGAGTATACTGGGGGCTTAAAACTTGAAAATCTGTGTAATGTAGTTCTTTTTCTGCCCGTCCAACTTCACACAGCCTCCTCCTCCCTCGCTGAATACCAGCAGCCCTTCACTGCTGCTTCACACACACTTACTAACGTGAAGGCGGCGCAGCTGAAGAGGATTATTATTTAATATATGTAAATAAATGTCTAAAAAATAAACTATTTAATATAAGTAAATAGTTTTTTAGACATTTATTTTGTAGAATTACAGCTGTTGTTAATAAATGTGCCAGTGTGACAACTGGGACAAAGCTTATACTCAGAAATATATTTTTGTTATTACTTTATGGAAAGAAAAAATATCGATATATATATATTGCATATCACCATTTTTCTTAAAATATTGAGATATTAATTTTGGACCATATACCCCAGCCCTAACCAGGAGAATATTCACAACTGAATGTTTCATGAAAACAACCAGAGAAACTGTTAGATGACATGAAAGTTTGATAACATTACGTTAGCTATGATCTGCATGCATTTCTTTGAAAAACCTTCAGCCTATGCACTTTTTTCCTTGCCCACTCAAAGGATTTATCTTTCTCTTGAGGAGTTCTTCACCACCAGCCTAATGGTGATGATGGTCATGATGGTGACATCGCTCAAATTATTATTTTCCTTTTATTGCCCAGTTCTCGGCACGCAGTGAAGGCCATTCTGTTTTCAGACAGCAGATATGCTTCAACAGTCATTTGTTAAGCTCACAAATATTCAACTCTAATGACAACACTCCGCAAACAATTTCACCCTGTCATGTACAATCATTGGCTTCCTTCTAATTATAAGATTAGTGGAAGCAGCCTGAGGAGGCACAGCAAATCACTTCATCTCGCTCTGTTAAAGATGACTGACTGGATTTGTTTCTATTTTCCTGTCACTTTGTTCACTTGCAGGTGGTAACACTCACCAACATGCTGCACTCACTGAGACCCATCGCCCAACCAAAGGACAGTATAGGCTTTCCATCCCAGAGGTGTGAAGAAGAATCGTCTACTCACATGTCACAAGCCGGGTCCATGAGGTGCTGTGATCACCCTTTGGTCTTTTCTCAAACTTCAGGTAAAACCAAAGCTGTGGTCACAGTTATATTTGTTCACTTATAAAAACATGAGATACTTTTCTAAAAAAGTTAAATCTGGTCCTCTGGACATTCAAAAACAAAACAAAGCAAACAACAAAAAAATTTAGAAATGTTTCGTTTTTCATCCAAGAGACTTCCTCAGTCTGAGGTGCTGTATTCAGCTCAGTCTCTTAAATAGCACCTTCTCAGAGTGGATCAACCAGTTTTGCTGCTGACAACCAAAAACAGCTGATCACATGCTCAAGAAGGACCATCAGCCTAACAATGGATCATTAGCACACTGATGGCTGTTTACTGTTCACAGAGGGCTGAGTGATACTAGCAATAACAATTCTGTATGTGGTGTTCTGAGTGGCTGTGGCTGAGTGGTTAGAGCAGTCGTCCTTCAATGCAAGAGTTGGGGGTTCGAATCCACAAACAGTCACATGTCGAAGTGTTTCAGGGCAAGACACTGAACCCCTCGATGCCTCCGATGTGTGTCCCATTAGGCTGATGGTCCTTCTTGATCATGTGAGCTGCTGGTTTTAGTTGTCAGCAACAAACTGGTTGATCCACTCTGAGAAGGTGCTATTTAAGAGACTGAGCTGAATACAGCAGCTCAGACTGAGGAAGTCTTTCGGATGAAAAACGAAACTTTTCTACATTTTTTTGTTGTTTTGCTTTGTTTTGTTTTTGAATGTCCAGAGGACCAGATTTAACTTTTTGAGATTTTTCTACCTGGATTACTGAGTATGTATCAGGATATCAGATATATTTCTTTTTTCATCTCTTTGTTTCATTTCTTATTTTTTTAGAACATGAATATGAGCTTTATATGAGTACTGATATCAGGCCACCTTTCACCTACGCAACACTGATTCGACAGGTATATGCTCAGTTTTTTATATATTTCATTAACACAAATGTTTATTGTGCTCAGTCAACTGTCAAATTAAACATTCTTCTACAAATAAAACCACATACGAAACAACCTGCAATCAGTACAATCAAATCACAATAATTTCCCAGTATGTTTTAAAATATAATATATATTTTCTCTTAATAAAGTTTCTTTAAATGAATAATAGTAAACTACTTCAGCAAATTTTCATGTCACCCTCCAGGTCATTCCAAAGTTTGACTCATCTGCTTTAATGTTCGACTTTTAAAGCCACATTTTCTTTAGTGGTTATCACATTATACAACATAACCTTACAAAGTGACTAAAAAACCTTTAAAACACTGTTGTAGGAAAATCACATGTGAATCTTTTTTCTACAACAATTTCTGATAAAGGCTCCAACATACTCAGGCATACTGCGTGTACACTATACGCACTGTCCACAGACGGTTGGAATTCATACTCGAGCGTACACCCTGACTGGCTGCAGCCCAGCGCTGCAGGTAAGGGGCGTTTACCTTCGGGACAAATTGAGGTCTCCGAATGGTCATTTGCTAACACGCCTACTGGATTGATTGAGAGTAAGCAAAAAAAAAAAAAAAGAAGTGCTGTCGGCAGCCCTTGGTAGAGGCAGCTGGCAGCCCAGGAGCAGCAGAAGTATATATATATATATATATACTTCTGC